GGTTCCCCTGTAAAAATCGCATTCCGGGGGTAAAATACACGTTTTTCGGCGGGGATCTTCCAGTAAAATTCACATTCCAGGGACTAAATATCACGTTATTGGGGTTGCTTCAACCCGCGGACATGAACATCAACCCCGCGGCAACAGTGTTAAAGTAGCCCAATTCCGCGGGACTTGGCAACACTGCTTATGAACCGACCGCACTATAGCGTTTCCTTGTTTACCGCTGTAAACAAAGCAGAGTTGCGCTTAATACGGAGAAGAAAATTCCATTGCCATCGAAACTTTTCTCAAGACAGTTCCCTTCAGTGATACATTAATATAACCCCATAAATGTAATGCATTTTTGTACTTATTTTACTGTTTTTTTTTTCGGGATCTACTGGACAGTGATAAAGATCTACCAGTCGATCGCGATCGACGGGTTGGCGACCACTGCTCTAGTGAAACCAAATTTAACTTTTTGGCCATAATTTTAAAAAGGCAACATTTTCTGCAAAAACAAGGAATCATGATGCCAAATTACCAGTACATTTTGGAACCAAACCTGAAGGCCTCCAAAGCTGAAGATTTCATCTTTCAGCATGGTAATAACCCCAAACACAAAATGTAAGTCAGCAAATGAATAGCTTCAGAAGAAGAACATTTTGTAATGGAGTAAAAGCCCAGACCTAAATCCAATTTGGGAAAAAAAAACTACAATTTGATTGATCTGGAGCTCTTTTGTAAGGAAGAGTGGGGGAAATTTGACAGATTAAAATGTGCTAAGTAGATAGACTCCTAATCAGTCTGCTGTATTAAATACAAATTAGTTGATTGATGTGCATCCCTTTTTGGTTAACTTGTTTGGTAACACTTGTTAATGTCTTTTCAAATTATTTTTTTACCACACATAAGCCATTTGAGTTTTTTCTTAGATTCTTTTACCTGTCATTTTAACTGGGCTGTGTAGTGTTTTTATAGCCACATTGTATGTGCTAGTTAAAAAAAAATGAAGCCACACGGATGTCAGTTCTGATTAATGGATTTATTCTTGCAAAACCAAGCTATCAAGAGGCTTCTTACATACAAATATTGATACTAAATGTTTTTAACTTGTAATTTTATTAATTATATAGCATAGCATTTCATTATTTTTTCATTTTCATTTATTTTTGTGATCTGTTAACTTGTTGTAACACACTGATATAATCTGATTCATGCACTCACAAAATCAGAGATCTTTGAAATCTGATCACAAGTTGGATGTGCACCATTGCCATTTTTTCTTTTACTGATTTGATTTGATTCTGTTATCTTTATTTGGCATATCAGCCCATACCGATCCATCTGGATTCTGAGCACACAAAATTTCTTACTGTGTTTGTCACAATGACGTCATTATTGATATAGGAATTCAAAGGTTATTCAAAATGCAAGAACATTTTTAAAAAAATATTTATTTTATGTGAATAGGCAAAATTAGAGTCTCTATCACTGATCAGAATTTCGTCCTTTTTTTGTGTGTTCCTCACAGGTGCCTGACTATCTGGACCACATCTTGCACCCTATGGATTTTTCCACCATGAGGAAACACATTAATGTACAAGGCTACAAGAATCTGGATGAATTTGAAGCTGACTTCAATCTCATTATTGAAAACTGCATGAAGTACAATGGCAAGGATACATTCTTCTACAGGGCAGCTGTTAGATTAAGAGACCAGGGTGGAGCTGTGCTAAGGAAAACTCGCCGAGATCTTCAGAAAATCGGCTTTGATTTTGAAACTGGTATGCACCTACTAGAACCACCAAAGATTGAGCCATCTGCACCTTTCTCCTGGGAAGATGGTAAATACACAAAAACTATACTGATCAGGGTACAAAATCTGTAGTCCCAATGGTATTTCATGTCTTTTGCTTTGTATGATTTGTAAAAGGTAATTGCTTGTGGACATTAAGCAAACTACACTCAGTGTAGTGGGATAATGTTTACATGTAAAACAAAGTGAAAAATCACGCACACATTGTTCATTTTTCATGATTCAAGCATGTCTTTGTGTCTAAGCAATGGCGTTTCTTGTCAATTGTCACTATGAGATGTACTGGTCAGTTTAGTGCTTCCTTGAAACTCCATGAAAGAATCACTAATAGTGTAATAATAACCAGTGAATCTGAATAGTTAAAGGGATAGTTCACCCAAAAATGAAAATTCTGTCATCATTTATTCACCCTCATGTCGTTCCAAACCTGTATGAGTTGCTTTCTTATGTTGAACACAAAAGAAGATATTTTGAAGATTGCTGGTAATCAAACAGTTGGTGGTTGCCATTGACTTCCATAGTATTTATTTTTTCCTACTATGGAAGTCAATGGCAACCACCAACTGTTTGATTACCAGCAATCTTCAAAATATCTTCTTTTATGTTCAACATAAGAAAGCAACTCATACAGGTTTGGAACGACATGAGGGTGAGTAAATGATGACTGAATTTTCATTTTTGGGTGAACTATCCCTTTAAGTCAGATCAGAATGATACATTCTTTTGTAGTTCCCATCCCTACATTTGAACAAATCAATCAAAAAATGTTGGCCTTTTACTCTTTCAGTGGACCGCTTATTGATTCCAGCCAATCGAGAGCACATGTCATTGGAAGAGCAGCTGAGGGAGCTACTGGAAAAGTTGGATCTGACTACAGCAATGAAATCCAGCCCGTCATGGAGCAGACGACTAAAGCTGCTTAAGAAAATCATTAGTGATGTGAGGATGGAGCTGAGTTTGAAGAAGGCACTTCCTGCTGTTGAATTGGAGAATGCTGCTGAAGAAGCCGACCACATCTTTCAAAAAGGTTTGTTTGAAAAATGTTGGTGTAAATGTTTTTTTTTAGATATTAACCTGTTGAACATCTGTCAAATCCTTGTGGGTAATACTTTGACGTATCACAAGCGACTCAAGTTCAAGTCCCATCTCAAGGTCATTTACTGATCCTATTCCTCTCCTCTCCTGTTGCTTCCTGCCTCTGAAAACACACACTAGCAACTTGATAGCATTATCCTGGCAACCACCCACAATACTGCTCACATTTTTCTGAGAAAATGTAAAAACGCTAGTTTGTTCTTTCTGAGAAAATGTAAAAAATCTACTTTATTGTCACTGAATTTAATCTGCCACACACTGTTTTTTTGTACAATATTTGACAGTGTCTCCTTCTTTCATGGCAGGTGATAATTCAGTCCCACCTAAGCTTGAGCCATCTGTTTCTGTGCCGCCCATCATTAATGCGGTAGGTCACTCTGAGCCACCCAAACTGAAACCCATTGAACCCAGTCCCAACAAAAACCAGCGCCACCAGGATGGCATTTCCCAGCCTCTCAATGGACACTCACATCTGCAGTTAGAGGACAGCGATGTCAGTGTAGTAGCTACATCAACTTTGGCTGAACCATCAAGCCCAGTAAACCGACGGACGTCTGTGCTTTTCCGCAAATCAAAAAGCACAAGCCCTCATAAGCCCATGAGAGATGGTGAAACTCCAAAGGGCAGTTCTCGGCTAGGCACAAATACATTCTTGTCAGTCGTCATACCACGCCTTGAAACATTGCTTCACTCTAGGAAGAGACCACGGAGTGCCAGTAGAGAAAGTGTTGAGGACGAATCGCCCATCAAACGCCTGGACACAGGTAGAAACTGCAGGAAATCAATCAAAAAGGGCAAGATAGATACAGTATGATTTATATAAATGCACATAAATAATAAATGCACTTTTTTAACAGGCCAAAGTGCTTTTAAGGCTTTTTAGAATCAGGTCACTAGAATGGCGTCATGGGAAAGTGTAATATCAGGTGATATCCAGGGTCAAAAAGTGGTCTTGCATGCACAGTAATACACATGTGCTGTGTGATTTGTCACGTGAACAACCAGTCTGTAATTAAAGTCTAACAAAGCTAAGTAGTTCAAGTAAGCGCAGTAGTGGTTCTTTATTAGTTTCAATACTAGTTTCAATAGATTAAGTGGGACTGAAATCTCTCTCTTTATCTTTTTCTTGTGTCTGGCAGGGTTGCCAAATGGTTTTGGTCTCAAGCTGGAGAAGGATTTGGATTCTAGCAGGCAGTTAGAGCCTCGTCGCAGGTGCGCATCTGAATCCTGCATGTTCTCCAGCAGCAGGTGGGTAGTTGTCATGAAGTACTTTTGAGAGTATGAAATGTACTGTGGTGTGACATGCTATACTTCATCGAAAAAGATTTTCAACAAAATTTTGTTTTCATTTCTCAGTTGTCATATCGTCCTATCATCAGCCTGTGAGATAGCCGATACGCTATATTATCGTGCTAATTTATTTATTTGCTTACTTAGTTTCATTACCGGAAAGTGAACCAACTTCAGCATAAGGCTAAATGCAGCCTAATGTTTTTAATATGAATGAATTTGTATTTAACATGATAAGAATTTAATAGAAACATTGTAAGTTACTAAGTATAATGATTACATTTCGTTATTCAAAAAGCAGCTACAGAAAATGAGCAAAGAACATTTACATTAACAAAGAACATCATCACTCACTTCAGTCTCGCTTGAGTATATGCACTTTAAAAAACCCTCTTGTTATAATTAATGAATTAATTATTAATTAATTAATGTTTGCCTACAAAACCACCACTGGATCTGCACCCCTTTACCTAAATTCATTACTCAGACTTATGTGCCCTCTAGAAGCTTGCGTTCTGCAAGTGAACGGCGCTTTATTGTGCCATCCCAAAGAGGCACAAAATCACATTCTCTGACTTTTAAATTAAATGTTCCCTCCTGGTGGAATGACCAACTCAATCCGAGTCCTTAGCCATCTTCAAGAATCGGCTAAAAACACATCTCTTCCATCTTTATTTGACCCTCTAACTCTAGCACTTTCTATTCTAATTTTATTCTTTATAAAAAAAAGAATAAAATTTTAGACCTTTTAGACTTGCACTCTATTTATTTACTAACTGTTTGTTTTCTTAAAAAACAAAACAAAAAAAAAAACACTTCTCTAATCTTCTTGCATTCTATCTATTTGTTTTCTTTTTATTTATTATACAATTATAATTCTGACTTTCTGACTTCTGAATTCTTCTGATTAACAAAAGCAAAAAAGGCCTTCTTATTTACACTGCACAGGTCTGCGGCACGTTACAGCTCTGACACAGCCACCGGAGCTGATCCGCTCTAGTCAATGCTTGTGTTTATACCAGCCGCGCCGCATCATGTCTCTGAAGTGTCCCAGAAGTGGCTCTCCGTGCTGCATCGCTAAAGATAGGCGCCTAGTCCATTTTTGATGAATAATTATAATAATCATCTTGCTATCATCAAAGGCATCAGCAACAGGCGATATCTCTGACTATTGTCGATACATGATACTATCGTCTATCGGCACAACCGAAGACAAAGGAAATGGTGTCTAGAAAAGCTGCATGATTTGGGGGAAAATCTAATTGCATTTTTTTTCAGATACAAATTGCTATTGCAATTAAACAAAAATAAATAAATACAAGTTTGCTGTGTTTGTTTGTAGGGCTACACAATGTTGCCAATATTTCTGATTATGTATCAATATGGCTGTAAAATTGAGTATTTAACCCTTTTACATCCTCACTAAGAAAACTGCATTGGATTTTTAACCCTTTTACATCCTCACTAAGAAAACTGCATTGGATTTAGCACTTCATTCATCCTCTGAGAATCAAAGGCACTCATCTGATTTTTCTGTCAAGTGCTTGAGAAGTCAAAATGCACATCCCTGTAACCCTGCACCATTCTGCAGGGTGATTTTTGTCAATCTCCCACACCAGACCATCATGTTTTCTTGTCTGTCTTTAGTAGTACTGCAGTTAATCTACCGAAGTGTGGGAAGGGGAAGCCAGCCCTCATCCGGAGGAACACAGTGGAGGACAAGAATGAAATTATTGCTTGCATCGAGAGTAGAAACTTCACCAAGGCTGCTAGAATAGCTGCTGGTAGGTGTCCACATCTATATTATATACATATATTATAGCCAGCAGCTATCACTCTGCAGCTCTCATCTGGTTGCCCACTGAAGTTAAGCAGGGTTGAGCCTGGTCAGTACCTGGATGGGAGACCTCCTGGGGAAAACTAGGTTGCTGCTGGAAGAGGTGCTAGTTAGGCCAGCAGGGGGTGCTCACCCTGTGGTCTGTGTGGGTCCTAGCGCCCCAGTATAGTGACGGGGACACTATACTGTCAAAAAGCACTGTCCTTCGGATAAGACGTTAAATCGAGGTCCTGACTCTCTGTTGTCATTAAAAATCCCAGGATGTCTTTGGAAAGATTAGAGGTGTGATCTCGGCATCCTGGCCAAATTTACCCATTGCCCTCTGACCATCATGGCTTCCTAATCATCCCCATATAATGATTGGCTTCATCACGCCATGGCTCCTCTCCACCAATAAGCTGGTGTGTGGTGACCGTTCTGGTGCACTATGGCTGCCGTCGCATCATCCAGGTGGATGCTGCACACTGGTGGTGGATGAGGAGATCCCCCCT